TAATTGGGTAGTTGGGTCTACAGTACCAACAGTTGGGAGCATAGGTCATCATGCACATCCCCCATGCCTTCAGGGACGTAAACAGGAAGTATAATTAGGGATGTCCTGATCAAAGTTTTTTGGCCTCCAATCTGATCCAAGTAATTCAATACTGAGTATTTGCTGATACCCAGTCTCAATCTGATACTTGATAAAACAGTGCACACTTTAAGTACTTTAAGTACATTAAAGTTATTAAAATCAATCCAATGTATATTCTGACAATTAAATAGCTCTGCATTGGAGCAAGAGCTGCAAAAAAATGCCAGCATTGAAATTGTTCCTTGATGTTTGTTTTATTCTCTTTACACATGAAAGTACATGTATAAATAGAACATGACATATTAAACCAAATTAATATGTCACTTGGGGAAAAAAGAGATCCAACAACTTACTTAGGCCTTAATACAGTATGGACATCACATCTAATAGTCCATTGTTTTTCAAAGTGGAGGCCAGCAGACTTTGAGGGAAAATGAGAGGAAATGCAAAATAAATCAATAAAAAACAATTCAATAAATAAAATTACATTGATTATTGTGTTTATTTGATTAAATATATGTTGTACAAATTATTATAATATATAACATATCAAAATCTTAAAAAAAAAAGAAATATTGAATTAAGTAAAGAGTTTTTTATCAAACTACTATTTCCAAGGTGAGGAATGATGTGCCACCTTTGGTTAATGTTTCACTGTAAAAACAGATAGTTATAGTTACAGTTCCTATAACTAAAAAAAAATGTTGAAACTGATTAGATCAAAATGTTTACATAAAAGTAATTTTGATCAAGTAGCTTTAGGAATTTTAAGTGAGAATGGCTTTCATTTTGTAATTTATATTAGTACTGTAAAACAAAATACCTATAAAGTTATTAATCAGGAATGTTTCTGTAACTTACAAAACTAAGTTAGTGCCAATTTAGGCAACTACCCCTACTTGGTAAAGGTTAGGAAAAGTCGTCATTGTCATTGAGATCCAAAGTCAGACACTCTGTACACTGCCCTATCTAGCCTGAACTCCTCACTAAGATGTTACAGCTGCATTATAATGTTCTGGTTCAGACAATCTTGGAGTGCCATCTATATTTCTGTGTCACTTCCAGTTTTCTAAAGCTTGTAGCTTCACGCATTCAGTTTTCTCACTTTTATTCTGCACTGTTTGACACTCCCGGTACCCACAAGGCTTAAAAAGCAAGACTACTACTGGCTACTGAATATTTCAAACACTTAAGTAGGTTTTTGTGTTTTCCAAACAAATATTCATAGATATATATATTAAAAAATTCAGTTAGGACAATGAATCTGGAGACCACCATGTTTGCCCTGTTTGACTCAATGTCAGATTATCAGCACTGAATATTCTGACTGTGATTCACATCTTTAGTGTTTTTCATCTCTCTGTGGATATTTGATTACAGCTGACCTTATTACAGCAAACAAAGCCAACCAAGGCAGTTAACCAGGCTGCATCAAAAACAAATGCAATATAGTTTCTGATAGATTATGCACATTTGTTTCTCGGCCACATATTCATAACTAACCACTGTGCAATGAATGAAACTCTTAAGCATTAATCTACCAGCATAGGAAGACCCATACTTAAAACAGTTTATGGCACCTTTCTCCTCTAGTTATCCACTGAGACATTCCACACAGCTCATTGTTTTGTTCCTGCAGTCTCTACGTCAATAAGAAAGCCTTCATGTTTAAAGCTCCCTCCCATTGGAATAATCTTCCTGTAAATATTCAGTCCATATTTTCTTACAGCCTGTTTAAAAAAGCCCTGTCTTCTTGTTATAGGATCAATTGTGCATGCTCTTAATGACTCTTATGCATGTCCATAATAACACTTTTACAATATTATCATGTTTTGTAACTCTAATACTTAATGCTTTCAACCACTCTAAACTAGAAATGAATGAGCCATTTCCATGCACTGCTTGGAGTATGAGCCTCTGATTTTGTATTTATATTGTCGGAAATATGAGGTAGTATAAGATAAGGTATATGTCAGGTGCGTCCTTTTTGATAAAGGCAGACTGAAAGGGCAATCGGCAACTACATAACATTATTGTTTGCCTGGCCATAGGATTTAAGCTCCTAGCTAAAAACAAAAAATCTTATTTTATGCTATTAAACTGGCAAAGACCTCAAAATTTACATTTACTGCCAGTCAAAGAAGAGGGACTGCTTTCACCCAAAACGGGGCAGGCCAAAGTACCCAGATTACCTGTTCTCATCTCTAGGGACGTGAAATATTTGTGGCAAAACAGAAGGGAAAAAAAGGTGTAAAAATAAACCTCCACCAGTTATTTCAATGTGTCAGATACATTTCATTAACATTTCATAACTTCTCCTGCACATTTTATTATGAGGTTGCAGCTTCAAGTTGGGAACATTCATGAGGCTGCCACTACCTCTGACTGCTGAGCCAACAAAAGCTGATTATGAATCCAAATGATAAGGGATTAGAAAGGATACAATTTGATAAAATGCTATCAAACCCAAACTAGGGGTGTAAGAAAATATCAAAAATTTCATATTGCAATATTTCGCTTTGGGTATATTGTATTATTTCTCAAAAACACTACAGATTTTTGTGATTGAACCCCTAACCTCTAGATAGCAGTGTTGTGAATGTAAACTGAGAGCTATGATGTTGGATGTTATAGGGACTTCTTGCTCAGATATTTATGCATATTGTGGACAGTTCTGCTAAAATTAGATTATAATGAATGCCAATATATTGTCATGCTTACAATATCGCAATGTATCATGATATATCAAATCGTAACCTGTACTGTAATACGATAAGTTATTTTAAGTAAAAAAATTTAAGTAACACTAGATCAATTTTGTAAGTTAAAATATTTTTGATTAAGCAGCTTTTACAAGGTATTTTTGTTTTCAGTACAACTAAAGATTAAGTCAGTGTCACTTAAAAGTACCAGTAAAAGCTGTAATCCAAAATGTTTTTAACTTACTTGAGGTTACTGTTACTTAAAATTTTGAGCTGAGTAAAATATCTTATAACCTATCAGGTTTTACATTGTGTATTGTGATACCATATCGGCAGACTCCTGCCAATACACAGCCCTAACCCCAACCCTAGCTACTGACTATGTTGACTATGTTTGTTGGTCAAACGTTCCGGTTCGCCCGTGACGCCCTGAAAAGCAAACGTTTGGTTTTTTAGTTATTGTGTATTTTTCTATCGATGAGACCTTATTCTCTCTGCACTAAAGCACTAAAGACCCCAGAGACTCGCCAGCTCTCTCACTCTGTCAGACAGATAAACACAGCAGAGAAAAAACAACAGTCAAGATGGAGACAGAGCAACGAAAAGAGGTCAGACACTGAGAGAGAAACAGGCAGACAGACACACAGATAGAGATATAGAGAGGGAGAAAGTGTGAAAGGGAGAGTCAGAGCCAGTGGAAGCACATTGTTCCTGTCTCACTCGTTCAGGCCTCACCTACAGCTGACGCTCCCTGCAGCCAGGTCCTTTCACAACTTATCACGCTCCCAGAAAGTGCTCCCTACAGCCAGGAATTCACTGCCAAATCTAATAATTACTTTGCAGACCTTGGTGACTATTGCATTATGGGAGTGTATTCACATATACAGTCTCCAGCGACTGTGACCCCGAGTCAAAATTGTCAATTTAATCATAATTAATAATGGCACTACTGCAGCATTTCAATCCTGCAAGTCAAAGTCATTAAAATGGCTCCAAGAACTCCTGGACTATATTGTCTGGAGGAAGTAATCAACTTTGGACAGGCCTCAGTAATTCATTAATATACCACCTCCAGAAGAAAAAGAGGAGGGAAGGGTGACTTTGTCTACAGGAAATTTGTTTCTTTAGACTTTCTGGGACAGTGCTGGATGTTTGATATTAAGGCATGGTGAACAGTGAAAAAGTACAACCGTGCTGTTATTTATTCACGCTGCATTGTGAAATTCTGACAGCCTAAAATTAAAATTCTAAAATTTATTCTGCGTTGAAACTTCATTTTAGACTTTTATCAAGATGACACTTTTTCTATGGATTAAATAGATTGCTGCAGGAATGAGCCATAAAACCTGGAACTGAGTTAGCATTTTAGCATCACTGGTTCCCTCACCTTAAAGTCAGTGGGGTTTTGGATGGGCTTTTGGTTATGCCTGAAATAAGATCTGTAAAGCTTTGTCATATTTTCTGAAACTTTCACTACATCCTGACAGTAGTACACGAGACAGATAATCTGTGAAGAAATTAAGGTTCCTCTGGCTCCTAATGGCATTTGCAAGAATCCACCGGGCCTGAACAAAAACAACGAATCAGAGCCGAGAAAGATGTACACTTTGGACGGATGGCTTAAAGATAGCTGATTGTTGAGTCTCATTCCCAGGGTCCAAATATGACAACCTGGGGAAGAGACTCAACAGTCAACTATATTTCTCAGTTTCCCTAAAATAGTATATAGTATTCCATGCTTACAATAGCGCAATAGATCACAATATATTGAATCGTAACCTCTGTATCGTGATACGTATCATACTGCCAGATTCTTGCCAATACACAGTCCTAATACATAGGATAATAAACTGCATCAGACTCAGTGTGGAAGGTTTCAATGCTTAACAAATTTAATGGGATGATGGATCACAAAAACACAACTTGATGTGCAAAGTTTTGTAAAAATGATCCAACACATGTTGTGTTGGCTGTACAGTAAAACACACAGAACATCCACAGTGTGATAAGGACTGTGCTGCAAGCTACATGGGTAGACCAACAACACAATGTTACCCTGCTCAGTTAACACCAATACAGTGAAGCTACAAACAACAACAGACAAAAGCTAAATGAGTTAGAAACCCAGATAATCTCTGTAGCTTGTTATACCACAAAGCAGCAGCCAGGCCTGCTGTGTCAATGTGCTCACTGTGTTAGAGAGCTGCTGCTGCTTACCTTGAAAGCTCCCAACTGACAGGTAAAGCCAGGTGAGTGCTGGGATGAAGAGCAGGGCGAGGGAGGCCGCCAGGAACTTCCTGCGCCCGCGACACATTCCCAGCATCCTCTGGACCGAAGCAAATGGAAAGAGAGGTGAAGTGACCTCTATGTTGGTAGCAGCTGTTGTCCAGGCTGATTCATGGCACTGGAAGAGAGGGAAGAGGAGGAAAAACTGGGTTAGAGAAGGAGCAGCCGTTTCACAACCTGTATGGACACAATTACAGCTGAGCATGCGGCTTCTGCTGCTGCCAGAGAAAAATACATCTAAACCTCCTGAGCCAAAAGACACATTTTGAATCATTTACTCAAGGATTGTAAACTGTAGGATTGCTAATTTCACATTTTCACCTTCAAAGCTTTGGGCTGCAATGATTTTTAGAGGACATTTGATGGGAAAAAAAGCAAAAACAAAAATGAGTTTACACAACCAGTGGTACTGACAAATTTGGGGTTAGAGATGACCAGTCAAATGAAAGAATCTTCATGAAGCCAACCTATCCAGCTCATTAAATAATTCATATAGAATTTAAATGAGACACTCTGAAAATGACAACTGCAAGCATGAAGCAGCTCAAACTTTCCTAACCTACCAACCAACTTTAAAGGGATTCGTGTTAATAAATCGGGAAGTCACATACTAATCTGACTTTGATGACCTAAACTAATTTGTCAATTTCGAGTGCAATGCAGGGCAGAGAGTATAGAAGTCTCATTATATGATATTAGTCGAAATCCTCTTTCTGTTACAACCACATTTGTCCAATTACCCGGTTGACCTCAGTCGATTTTTAATCTCCACCAGACTGACTGCCCAGGGATGAAACATAATACCTCTGGCTGGCACTGTGGAGGCTGGCACATACACAAGCCAGGGTGCCAATTATCATAGTGTCACCCAGTAAAATGCAGTAGAGGGAGCGGATTTCAGAAATGAAAAAATATTTCCAGCACTCTTCCCAGCACTTACTGCATCTCCAGGTTTTTTTCTAATGTTTTATTGTGGCCTGGGCAATGTGAAAAGCGCGGAGTGAGACGGGGTTAAATGAGGCTAAAGGAGATTAAACAAGTCTCTCAAGTACAACAACTGCCTCTTTGATAGGTGGACTATGAATCATTTCCGAGGCTCCTTAGCCTTTGACCCCTGTGTGATATTAGCTCTCCACTGGAAACTGTGATTTACAATGCAAATGCTACACTGAAGACATTTATTACCATATTCAAGTGAGGTGTCAGACCACCGAGTAAGCAGATCCAGTTGTGCAGGGATGCATTATGTAGCAAGGAGGTTGAAGGAGCTCAGACTGAAGAGCAGCAGCAGAGTAAAGGATATTTTCTGGCCTTTGTGAGCTATCATTGCTAAGATGTGACATCAGAATCTAAATCAGAATCAGAATTAGGTTTATTGCCAAGTAAGTTTTTACACATAAGAGGAATTTGTCTTGGTGAATTGGTGCATAAAATATACAAATCACACAAAAATATACACAAGAATAGAGTACTTTTAAAATATAAATAAATAAAGATAAGAAAACTGTACAGAAAACGGGAGTGCAATAATGTAATGAGGGTGGGTATAAGAGTCAGTGTCAATGGGGTTTCCGGGCCTTGGTAATGAGGCCAGCTGCACACAGTGATAAACTGATGGACCGCAGCCTCCTACCAGAGGGAATTCAATTCAATTTTATTTGTATGGCGCCAATTCATAACAGAAGTTATCTCAGGACACTTATAAAATAGAGCAAGTCTAGACCGAACTCTTTATAACATTATTTACAGAGACCCAACAGTACCACCATGAGCAAATACTTGGCGACAAGGGCAAGGAAAAACTGCCTGTTAAAAGGCAGAAACCTAGGACAGATCCTCCAGCTCTAGGTGGGTGGTCGTCTGTCTCGACCAGTTGGGGTGTGTGAGAGTGAGTGAGTGTGAGAGTGAGTGTGAGAGTGAGAGTGAGAGAGAGTGTGAGTGTTTCAAAGAGTTTGTGTCAGGGGTGGGAGGGGTCAGCCACAATCTTGCCTGCACGCCTCAGGGTCCTAGAGGCGTACAGGTCCTTGAGGGATGGCAGATTGCAGCCAATCACCTTCTCAGCAGATCGAATGATACACTGCAGTCTGCCCTTGTCCTTGGCAGTGGCAGCAGCGTACCAGATGGTGATGGAAGAAGTGAGGATGGACTCGATGATGTAGGTGTAGAAGTGCACCATCATCGTCTTTGGCAGGTTGAACTTCCCCAGCTGCCGCAGGAAGTACATCCTCTGCTTTCCTTGTTGGTGAGGGAGCTGATGTTCAGCTCCCACTTGAGGTCCTGGGTAATGATGGTACCCAGGAAGCGGAAGGACTCCACAGAGTCAACTGGGGAGTCACACAGGATGATGGGGGCGGGTGGGCCTGCACAACCATCTCAACTGTTTTCAGAGCGTTTAGCTCCAGGTTGTTCTAACCCTAACCCTGAGCCGGGGGAAGGGGAACTGGTGAGGTGGGACTGGTGAGGGGTGTCACAGGGCATGGTGTCAGGACTGCTCCTTTGTCTGTCGAAGCGACAGTAGAACTCATTCAGCTCGTTTGCTAGGCGCAAGACGTTGATGGAGTGCGGGGTATTAGGTTTGTAGTTGGTTATCTGTCTAAGCCCCTTCAAGGCAGAACCAGAGTCATTGGCTGAGAACTGATGTTTGAGTTTCTCTGTCGTTTAGCTTGTCTCACTGCCTTGCTAAACTTGTACTTTGGCTCCATAAACCTGTCCCTGTCCCCACTCCTGAACACTTGCTCCTTCTGCAGCCGTTTGGCTGTGAACCAGGGTTCGTCATTGTTATAACTCACCCTGGTGCGTGATGGTACACAGCAGTCCTCACAGAAGCTGATTTATGACGTCACAGCCTCTGTGTACTCATCCAGACTGTTGGTAGCAGTCCTGAACACATCCCAGTCAGTAGAGTCCAAACACGCCAGAAGATCCTCTGCAGCTACAGTGGTCCACTGCTTTGATGTCCTTACAACAGGTTAACAGAGCTTTAATTTCTGCCTGTATGTAGGAATCAGATGAACGATGACATTCAGCTCTGCTGACTGTAGTGTAACAGTGATCCAATGTGTTCTCCTCTCTGGTCGGGCATTTAATAAACTGTTTGTATTTGGGGAGTTCGTGGCTGAGGTTTCCTTTGTTAAAGTCACCAAGGACAATAACTAAAGAGTCTGGGTTAGTCCGCTCCACACACAGAATCTGGTCGCCGAACATGTGCTGTGCGTCCTGCACATTGGCTTGCGGTGTAACGTAAACACCGACCAGAATAAATGACACGAACACGCGGGGGAAGTAAAAAGGTTTACAGTTTATGAAGAAAGATTCCGGAGTAGAAGAGCAGTGCTGTTGGATCACTGTCACATCGTTACACCAGCTACTGTACAGATACCTCCACCCTTTGTTTTGCCGGAGAGTTCTGTGTCACGATCCGCTCTGAAGAGTTGGAAGCCTGCCAGCTGCAGCTCAGAGTCCGGTATTGATCCACACAGCCTCGTCTTGGTGAAGCATTAATCAGAAGATCAGATAAAAAGTCTCTGTTTTTCCCCAGAAGTAGCTTAAGTTCGTCCATTTTACTGCACAGTGAATGCACATTGGAGAGGAATATTCCATGTTCCATGGTGCCATCAGTTGATACAGCCATTCATATCCAAAGCGCACATGATGATACTAAGCACACACACACACACACACACACACACACACAGCAATTTGTGGTTCAGTATCTTGCCCAAAGACACTTTGACTGGACACAGGTAAGCTGCAAATCCAACCAGCAACCCTCCAGTTACTAGACCCCCTCCACACACTGAGGGCCCACCTACTAGTGGTTGAATAATATGGGTTTTTCAATGGCTGATGCCAATATATAGAGAGCAGGGCTGCCGATGGCCGATATAGAATGCCAATATCAAAACAAAGAAAATTCATGATAATTCATAATTCTGTTCTATTCAGCAAATTCAGGTAGATATTTTTGGTTTATCGGCTTCACTGGCACAGACTTCGGCCAATGCAGATTATCTCAAAATGCCAAATAATCTATCACTACCACCTAACCACTCAGCAAAATCCAGGCTGTTTGCTGTCCTGGCTTCACCATAGTGGAATGAGCTCCACATTGATACCAGGACAGCAACTCTGAGTATCTTCCGTGGCAGACTAAAAAACTCAAGAGTTCAGACTATATATTATTTTTAAATTTAGCACTTGAAGCAGCATATTTAATAAAGTTGACTTACTTGCATGATTCTTGCAGTTTTAGGCTTGTATCCAAGTGGTTGAATGCACTGTAAGTGCTTTGGATAAAGCATCAGCTAAATAAATGTAATTTAATGTACAAATGTAATATAGAGAATGTTGAGTAAAACATTTTTTGTTTGTATTTAAAATAAAAATGCAATTATTCAGCATATTTCCTGTCATTACTAATGTTGTCAAATGGCACAACTGATAATAGTCAGGTTGTGCAACTTGGCTGCACAATTAATCAAAATAGTATTGATACCACAATATGGCCAAGTACAATATCCAAACTGCAGAAGCTGCAATTTTTTTATAAAGTGTGCGACAAACAGCATTATAATGAAATACTGTAGTACTGACTCCCTTGCCTACTTCTTGTTCTCTAGATTTAAGAAAACATGTCACATCATCATAATTTTAATAGTTTTTCAGTGAAAATTTTAATTGTGATGCTAAAATAATCATTCCTACTAAGGCCTCTGTGTTCTTAAGCTGTGGTTGATGGCAACCTCCTCTCTTTTATCAAACTCTGACAGATGGACAGTTTTTGGAGTATGTGCATGTTTCAAGGTTTTTTATGACTCTACAGTCTTGTGTGAGCACTGACTTTTCACCAGTTGACAGTGCTGCAAAACCTTATGGTTTGTCAGATTAGTGTTATTAATCCAGAAGGCAAAATTGAATGAGACTGATCAAATACAGTGTTATCTGTTTGAACATCAGCATGTTCTTGGCTAGTTTATTATTATAAATACGGTGGACCGACATGTATATTACACGTGTGATTATAATAAGAATATTAAAGCTGCAAGAAGCGTTGAGCGGGACCTCGCACTCCACGCAACTCGGGGCGTGCTGCGGCCGCGTCATGTGCCATCGTACACG